TTTTTTTTTTTTTTTTTTTTTTTTTTTTTTTTTTTTTTTTTTTTTTTCCTGCTGTTGAACATCTGCTTATGACTTTCTTTGGTTTTCAAGTATAAATTTCAGTCACTTTTTTTTTTCTACTGGGAGCTTCAGGTGTTGCACCATTGTGTTCTCTCATTTATTGATTTTGAAAAGCACTTTAGGGCCAACTTGGTGTGCTTCTCTTTGTAGGTAACTTGAACATTTTCCTCTGATTGCTTTTAGAGTCTTTTAATCTCCAAAAATTCTAGCAGAATATGTCTTTTTTGAAATTGTTTTTCTCATAACATGAAGCACAGCCTCCATTTTTGGATTTACGTTTTACTTATTTAGATCAGGAAAGCATCGTTCTATTTTGGGGGGTTATTGTTTCTAAATTTGGTATTTGTTATCTTTGGAAGTTTTATGATCTGTCATTTGGATATCTTAAATTGAGCTTCCTTTTCTATCTTTTTCTACTTTTACTCTATTTCTGGAAGGACACGTTCTCATTCAAAAATTTTTTTTCAGTATCAAATCTGTTATTCATGTCTTAAACCAGTTTTTAAAAAATTGTGTTTTCCATGTTCTTTTAATTGTGGATTATTTTTTATTTATGATTAATTATTTTAACTTGACAGATAAAAAAAATCTCAAATGTTTTCTAAGATTTTTCACCTTTCTTTGTTAAATGTCTTTTAAAAGGAGTTACCCTTTGTGATTCTTTTAAACCACAGCATCCTTTATTGACACCATGATTTTTCTTCTCCTTTCCTAAAAGAAGGAGGTGAATGTTTATTTGGTGTGGTGTACCAGTTAGCAATTTCTGCATAGCAAACCACTCCAGACTTACTGGTTTCATATAATAACTGTTTAGTTTATGATTCTGTGGAACAACAGTTTAGGCTAGACTCAGTTGGATGGTTCTTCGAGTTTTTGTTGGGCTCCTTCATGCATCCATGGTTAACTTGAGGTCAGCTAAGTGACTCTGATTCCAAAAGTTGACTGGCTGCTAGCTAGGTCACCTCACCTGTTCTCCACAGCCTCTTATTTCCTACTAAGCTAGCTTAAGCTTGTGCTCATGAAAGGATAATGCATCCAAGAGAGCAAGGAGACACATGAAACCACCTTTTTACACTTCTGCTTGTATTGAATTTACTACTGTCTCATTAGTGAAAACAAGTCACATGGCTCATTTCAGCTTCAGAGTTGGGAGAACTGCAGCATTACAGGGCAAAGGGGATGAGGTCGCCAAAATATTTGTAAAATTCGAACATGTTATGTTTTCATAAGGATGAGTCCTTTAACTTCTTTCAGCTAGACAAAAAGAAAAGCAAGCAGAGGTCCCAAAATGCAGTTACACTTTATACAAAGCAAGTGGTGTCTCAAAAGCATTAGGCTTTTCAAGTGATTTTCAAAAACACAGGGAATTAAGTGATTGCTCACAGACTTTGGGAATTCCAAAGTTCCTACTATTAGTAGTGTATTAGTCAGTTTTCACACTGCTGATAAAGACATACGCAAGACTGGAAAGAAAAATAAGTTTAATGGATTCACAGTTTCACATGGCTGGATCGTGGTGGAAGGTAAAAGGCACTTCTTATATAACAGCGGCAAGACAGAATGACAGAATGAAAATCAAGCAAAAGGGGTTTCCTCTTATAAAACTATCAGATCTCGTGAGACTTATTCACAACCACAGGTACAGTATGGGAGACACCGCCCCCATGATTCCGCTCTCCCACCAGTTTCCTCCCACAACACGTGGGAATTATGGGAGTGCAATTCAAAATGAGATTTGGGTGGGGACACAGAGCCAAATCATATCAAGTAGTGTCAGCAAAGTTTAATTTATTTCAAAGCTTTGTGGTCCAGGCCAGGGCAAGGGTTGGGCCATGGAAATATAAAGGAAGGAAGGAGGAATATATGAGGCAGTTGTTGAAAAAATGAGAAGCAATTGAGTTTAGCAACTTAACTGCATCAAAAGTTCCCAGAGATGATAGAGACTTGGATAGTTCTGAATTTGTAATGCAAATGATTGGGAGACAGAAATAGCACTATCTTGGCTATTTATGAGGGGAGAAATAACGAGCTTTTGAAACATGCTGAGTTTGAGCTGGTGAGGCATCCATGTGATAATGCCCATTGGTTTTTTATATTTTTAATCTCAAGTTGTAGTTTTCTTCTGCAATCATAGGTATGACTCATAGAAGTCCTTATTTTTAGAAATGAAACACATTAAAGTGGTTATAGTATTTAACAACCTAACATAGTATGTTTTTCAATGGTAGAAAAATAATCAAAAATATCATTGACAGGAAAATAAACCAGAGTCAAAAACATTATTTTCACATCCTCTTATTTTCTAGTCAAGCGTTTAATCGGAATTGATTTACTGTCTCTCGGTGGCTCAAAGCAACTATCCACTCACCTCTAGTAAACATACAGAAGCAAACATCTTATTGACGGTGAATTGACAGAGTCCTCTGTACAAATACAAAAGAAAATGATAAGGAAATAAGTGCTTTGCTATGTCTAAAGAGCTTCAAAACATCAATTATTTACATAAATTAATATAAAACTTCAAAATAAAATAATAATCTTTAGAATTTAAGTTGTGTATTCTTAATTCTCAGAGGTGTAACTATTAACAAATAATAACTTCTGTATCAAAATAAATCATAGTTTACCAAGCAATTTAACATGTTATCTCAAGTGAGCATCTCAAATCTGTGAAGAGGTTAGGGGTCTTTACATCCCCACGAGGACTCTAGAGCCCAGAAGGGCTAGTTGATATGTCTATGATTGACCAACTAACAAAAATGAGATATTTTATTCAAGAAGTCTGATTTCTGAGTTCAAAATTCTTTAAAGTTTTTGAAAAATAAAATTTTTTTAAAATATGCATTTGTGGGAGACAATGATACATCTTTCCTAATTCCTTTTAACCATGAAGATGAAAGTTTTGTCTTTTGAAGGACTTAATTTTTTTTGATTCACAGTTTTGATGCTGTATCAGTCGAGGTCCACTCAGGAAAACAGAAATGGCACCAGTTATTTGAACAAAAATAATTCAACATGAGGAATCGATTAAACAGATATTAGAGGACTAAAAAGGTAATGCAAAAGTTGGGCAGGCATGTAGGGAAATGGTAAATGGCTAAGGATATATTGGCATGCCACTGACAATGTCTGCTACAGGGATATGCAGAGAATAATTGATTTTATTGGTATTACTAGTTTCATTTAACTTGCTTTATCAAATGCCACTAAAAGTCGAATCCCAGCTTTTCAGAGGTTTGAGCTACTCTGAAAAACAGTTGTGCAAAATCCAATCAGGTATGTCAGTGGCATGGGATAGTTGGAGTATTGGGAGTGAAACTCCCTGGTACAGGCAGTAGGGAGATAATCAACTGCAGAGAATTTAAAAACGGTAATAAAACCGATTAAAAGGCAGTTTGTTTTTATTATCACACTGCATTAGCAATTCTAAACAATGTCAGTGAAATACTCCTCCCTCATGGATAAAACATCGCCCCCCACCCCATTCTGTTCCTTGTGTATGCACTGCAATAAGTTGCTTTATCTTCTAGGGAAATATATTTATGGTCAAATTAGCTCAGGTGAGCATCTCAAGTCTGTGAAGAGGTAGGGGTCTTTGAATACCCATGAGGACTTCAGAGCTCAGAAAGACTAGTCAATATGTCCATAGTCAACCAACTAGCAAAAAAAGGGACCTTTTATTCAGGGATTCTGATTTCTGACTTCAACATTCTTTTAATTATAAGTTTTGAATAGCAGTTTTTTTAAAAAATATGCCTTTGGGGAGATAATGGTATAACAAATGAAGCCACTTTTTTTCCCCTAAGTTTCTGGATTCTGCAAGTAGTCTGCTGAATGAAGAATGACTGCACCTTAACATCCTAAATCATTCACATGAGTAGCCCTAATTTCAGTCATAATGCTGAAGTAAACTACTATGGTTACATTTGGCACATGGCTGAGAATTATATATTTTTTTTCTTTTTTATTTGAGATGGAGTCTCGCTCTGTTGCCCAGGCTGGAGTGCAGTGGCATGATCGTGGCTCACTGTAACCTCTGCCTCCCAGGTTCAAGCGATTCTCCTGCCTCAGCCTCCTGAGTAGCTGGGATTTCAAGCACCGCCACCATGCCCAGCTAACTTTTGTATTTTTAGTAGAGACGGGGTTTCATCATGTTGGCCAGGTTGGTCTCAATCTGACCTGGGAATCCACCTGCCTTGACCTCCCAAAGTGCTGGGACTACAAATGTGAGCCACCGCACCTGGCGAGAATTATATTAATAGTTGACCAAACAAGAGAACTCTTTCTCTATCTTCTGTTGATAGTCAGTAGCCATTGTGCAGAGATGAAGCTCCTGCCTACTCTATTGTTTGAAAAGACAAAATATTTGGAAATATTAAACCCTAGTGCTCATCAGAGATCCTTGCTACTAACTTTGTTCCACGTGGTTGCTCAGCGACCCAGATCATTGCTTCCATTTTATTGCTTCACCATCCCAAGGATATCAATTTCATCTGTGTGGGAGAGTTGAGTCATTGCCTTGTTCCCTGTTAGCCCATGGTGTGTGGAGGGCAATGATTTTTTTTTTCCCCAAACAAGTGATACAGAAGAAGCCTATGTCACTTTCATTCATGTCCTGCAATCTAAAATATTGTTTAGGAAAATTGAGCATATAACCTCACAACACTAGTTTGAAAGAAGCTAAATACATGCTCTAGATCTATCAAGCAAAAGAAAGACACAGAAATGTCATTTCCTCTGAGTCCTCTCTACTTCATTGCCAGGCATGAGAAAACTGCCTGTTTAAAGGATTCATCCGTGAGAAGCCAGCCCTATGGGAGTTATTCACTTACGAGAAGCTGCGAAACACAGTCTCTAGCTAGGCGACCATGGCTCAGCTTAAACTGAATTAATATGGAAGAAAGGAAGATCAAATTTTAAGGAGCAGTTAGCAGTCTGCCACAAACAGTATGTGTTCACAGAGTTTTATAACGTGTCTTATCTCACAGCTAAAAAGATAAGACTCAGCCCACAGCTAAGAGAGCAAGTTTTAGTAACAGCTTCTAGAGATTGTGAAATTGACAGATGAGTAAATATGTATTCACACAGACATAATGAGATTATAACGTCATGATGAAATCAGAACTCTGTATTTGCATTTTATTTCAATACAATGTTTTGCTTGCCAGATAGAGGAAAGCTCATTTATTCTTCTGGATGCAAGAACAATGCAAGCAATTAAAATATAGCAACTTGCTACATATTTGGAAGACCTATTTTTGAACAACATGAATATTATTTATTTAAACACTTAGATTTCCTTGGAGACTTTTACCTCAAGGTCACGCAAACCGAGAAAACATTTTTAATTGTTTTAATTTGAGACAGGTTCTTGCTCTGTCGCCCAGGCTGGAGTGCAGTGACCCTATCACAGCTCACTGCAGCCTCAACCTCCTCAGGCTCAGGTGATCCTCCCACTCAGCCTCCCGAGTAGCCGGGACTACAGTTGCATGCCACCATGCCCGGCTAAATTTTCAATTTTTTTGTGTGTGGAGACAGTGTTTTGCCAGGTTGCCCAGGCTGACTCAAGTAATCCACTATCCTGGCCTCCCAAAATGTTAGGAGTACAGGTGCGAGCCTCCGTGCCTGGCCGAAGAAAACATTTTTATATGGAAAACATTGTATAAAAAAATTGGGAAAGTCTTCCTGCCCTGACACTATTCCGTCAAATGTACAATGTTTGCTAGACCACTGAGGAAAGCCACCATCTATGGTGATAGCCAGCATTTTCTTTACTAATGTCAAATCAGCAATTAATAACGTAACGTCATTTTGTCTACTTTATCTTATAACTAGGTTATATAGCAGTTCACTAATAGGTATGATACTGAATATATTGCCAGATACAAGTTGTCAAAATTGTCTTTGGCCTTAACTCCTATTATTTTGGCATCTCCCTGGTGTTTAGTATATTACTGGCAGAAGTGAAGTTGGTATTACAATTGCCTGCCTAAGCTATTTCACAGACGAGTAAGGGATCTATTTCCTCCTAGTAAAAGAGATTATTAAGAAATAGAATTATAAGCATAACTTCTATTTTAAAATGTTGAGATAACACTTTTGGCATAACTTGAAGATCACACCCAACAAAAGCATGAACTACAAGTCTTATTACTTATTACAAGATCTTTGATTACTATGCAGAGTTTCAGATGACTACCCTATAAAGAGGGTGAGTATGTTAAAACACAAATAGGAAAAATGCATTCTATATACAGACATGTGCCTCGTAATGATGGTCAATGGACCATATATGTAATAGAGGTCACATAAGATTATAATACCATATTTTCACTGCCGCTTTTCTATGCTTGGATATGTTTAGACACATAAATATGTACCATTGCCTTACAGTTGGCCACAGTATTCAATGCAGTAACATGCTGAGCAGGTTTGCAGCCTAGGAGCAACAGGCTATTCTCCATTGCCTATAGCAGGCTGTGCCATCTAGGTTTGTGTAAGTACACTCTGTGTATGACAAAATCACCTGATGGCATATCTCTCAGAATGTATCCCCGTTGTTAAGTGACGGAGAACTGTTTCATGTAGCATTTGAAAATAAAGTAATTTATTTTGCATAAAAATGGATTTTTTTTTCTCAATAAAATGTGGCTGCTTCTAGGGGCAAAATTAACATACAGGACTTGAACCGACAGTGTTAAAACTGTGGAAGGAAATCTTAGAGGGCATGTTGTTAAACATTTCCCCAAGTCACACGTTACTTCTTTATCATCCCTGACAGGTTCCTCTTCATTCACCGCTATCTGAATGCTTCCGTGAGGCAGACCCCATTCCATTCCCTCACTGCATTGATGGACAGCTCTAAACTGCCTCTTCGACATCTTATTCTCATCAGACTTTTCTGAAACAACAGCGTAAATCTGATCTCATTTCTGCGATTATCCATGACATTTTTGAGGAGTATTATTTTCTTCCTGAGACTTTTCCAGGCTAACCACTCCCAACTTTTTCCATATTCCTTGATGGAAATCACTTCCTGTCCCACTGCGATCCTGATGACCTTCCTCTGGACATACTTCTGTTTTTCAGTGTCCTTCAGAAAACTATTATAGATGTCTTGTGAGCAGACCAGAGAACAGAGTCTAGTAAAACAATCTTTTATGAGCTGGGTGATAAGCATTTATTGATGACGATGATGTGGCATTCACTTTCTCATCAGTTGAACCCTATGGCCTTGTTTGAACGGCATGGGGAGCCCTCTTGTTCCCAAGTACGGCCTTGCAGGGAGTCTGTACTTCCATCTCTAGTGATTGAAAGATTGGATTTATTCACCTAATACTAAAGGTTTTTTTTTTTTTTTACACACATTTTAAATTCCTTTAGTAAAAAATACCATTGGATATAGGTAATACTTTAAACCTTTTCCTACGGATCTTTTATTTGGATTTAGTTCACAACTACATGAGAGGAGGAAGGGAGAAAATCTGGCAGTAGAGAGTTCATGAGATGAAAAGCATTTCCAGCGTCATTGCCATGAAGACAGCAACAGGGAATCGGGAAGAGACCGAAGAATACATTTTACCAACTACAAAACTTTCCTGACTCTTGGTGTGCTGTATTGCATTTGCTGACCTTTAGTGTAATGTTTACACTTGGAAGTTACTTTGTATTTCAGACATCTAAAACCATGAATGGTCTAAAGATATCTGGAAAGAGAGAAACAGTACATACAATTTTTGGGTTCACATCTTGGATTAAGACTGTGTCTACTATTAGGTCGATACAAAAGTAATTACTTTTAATGAAAAAATCTGCCATTACTTTTGTATCAGCAATTTCTTTTGTATACTTTAAAAAGATCTTCTCTTTTACCCCATGTCTTTACATTAAAGTTGGCTTTTTGTACACCACACACAGCTGGGTATTGCTTTCCATCCCATCTGACAGTTGCGATTGAGCTGGAATATTTAAACCAGAGCTGTCACAAATATATATAATGTGAACCACATATGCACTTTAAAAATTTCAAGCGTTCACTTTAAAAAAGTAAAAAGAAAGGTAAGTTGAATTTTTTTTTTTTTTTTTTTTTTTGAGACAGAGCCTTGCTCTGTCGCCAGACTGGAGTGCAATGGTGCGATCTCGGCTCACTGCAACCTCCAACTCCCTGATTCAAGCTATTCTCCTGCCTCAGGCTCCTGAATACCTGGAATTATAGGTGTGTGCCACTGCGCCCAGCTAATTTTTTTGTATTTTTAGTAGACACGGGGTTTCACCATGTTGGCCAAGATGGTCTCATTTTCTCATCTGGTGATCCGCCGGCCTTGGCCTCACAGAGTGCTGGGATTACAGGAGTGAGTCACCGCACTTGGCCAAACTTTAAGTATATATTTTATTTAATCCAAAACATACAAAATATTTTCATAGGTAATCAATATAAGATCATTGATACATATTTTACATTATTTTTTGTGTAGTCTTCAAAATTCAATAATTTAGACCAATCATTTATGAAATATTTGATAATCCCATGTATCTAGTAGTTATCAAATTGGATAGTTTTAGACAATTATGTTTAATCATCATTAAGTAGATTAAATGTATCATCTTTCTAGTTGATTTTTAAAATTTAAATTATTGTTTGTTCCTGTCTCCTTTTTATTGACTTACTTTTTGAAGTTGATTCTAAAGTTTATATAAAAAAGAAATTAAGTAGGCTGTCTATGATTCAAGACACATTATAAATCTTATAATTACCCAATATTTAAAAGTATGGTACCAGTGCATGAATAGATAGCTCAATGAAAATACATACAAACTCCAGAAATACATTCAAACATAGAAATCTATAAGTATTAAAAAGCTTCTTGAACCAATGAGGAAAATACAGACTTCTCATAAATGAATTCTGTATAACTAGGTGGCCATCTGGAATAAACTAAAGTTGGACTCATATTGTTTACTTAGAAGGATGAATTCCGAAGGGTAAGTGATTTACATGCAAAAAAATGAGATCATTAATTCTGCTTAGGGAAAAATAGAATATGTACTTTTCTCTACTCCTCCCGTTAAGTACACTAAAAACCCTCCATATTATATATAAAAACAACTTATATATCTATATAAATGTAAGACTGAAAAGTAGAGAGAAGAGGCAGACACCTAAAACCTTGGTGACGAAAGAAATAAAACAGAGGTAAGTTTCATGGATTTTTTTTTTTGCATCACATATCCCAGACTTGGAGCTAAAGAAAATGGCAACTCAGAAGCACCAATGAATACAAACAAGAAAGGCCCCCCAAAAGCCTGCTATCTCAAGCCAAAGGAAAAGGAAAAAGCAGCCTAGCATTACCAAAACCTTTTAGACTATAACTGCTGTGCACCAGCCAAAAACTACAGAAAGAACAGTGGTCCCACTCCCGCCCACACCAGAAAAGGCAGAGTGGGGGAGCCCAGACTTCCACCCTTGTCTTGCTGTAGTGAGGTTCTCTAAGCTCCTGCTGTGGAGTGGTGTTAGAGCAAGCTAAGTAGGAAACTGGGACTTTATCCCTTCTGGATGTTGATGAAGACATTCCCCTCCTTCACAGCATCAGTGAGGAGACTTTTTTTTTTTTTCCCATCTCTACCTAGCAGTAATGATGCTTTCTTCCCCTACACATAGAGGTAGTGTCAAAGGAGACCTAGTAGAGACTGAGACGGTTTATCCCTGCCCACCCTACCCCAGTGGCATCAGTAGAAGAAGAAATAAGGCACTCCTAGTTTTCCCAGTCAGGGTAATATCAGTGGAGACCTTTCAGGGAGTGGGAGCTCCCACCTCTTACCAGCAGTAATGAGGGAGATCCTCACCCCTTTGGGTGTTAATAGAATCCCAGTGGGGAATCTGGACTTCCACTCCACCTAGGTGTAGTGCAGCAGGATGGTCCTTCTCCTCTTCTCTTTCCTATATAGTGTCAGAGTGGGTCACCTAAAACAGAAGGCTTATAAAAATACAAAATCTCATAGTACTCAAAATGTCCAGATTTAAACAGAAGCATCACTAGTACATCATAAAAAGAACAAGGGAATCTATACTTAAATAAAAAAGAAATACATGCAAATATCAAGATAGCCGAAATATTAAAATGATCTTACACATTTACAGCAGCCATCATAAAAATGTTTCCATGAGCAATTATAAGCATGCTTGAAACAAATTAAAAAAAAAAAACTAAAGAAATAACAGCTATGATAAGGAACCAAATGGAAAGTTAAGAACTGAAAAATATAACTAAAATCTAAAACTTAATAAACAAGCTCAAAATCTGAATGAAGGAAACAGGAAAGAATCTGTGAACGTCAAGGTAGAACGATAGAAATTACCCACTTTTAACAAGAGAAAGGCTCTTTGAAATGCAACATTCCACAACATTTCTCAAGTGCTGGAAGAAGAATGATTAGAGCCTTACTCCTGTAAGATTATAAGAAAAGCTCAAATGTTCGTGTCATAGGAGTCCTAGAAGGAGAGGGGAAGAAGGTAAGATGGAAAAAGCGCCTGAGGAAATAGTGGTTGGAAACTCCCCAGATTTGGCAAAAGACATAAACTATACATTCAAGAAGCTGAATAAATATAAAATAGTATAAACCCAAATAATCATAAACCAAGACACAGTCAGTTTTCTGAAAACTAAAGACAAAATTCTTGAAAGCAGTAAGAAAGAAATGACTATAGAAGAAAAAGAATTTGCATGATTGCAGATTTCTCACAATATTGCAGATTTCTCACAATTTCTCATAATAAAAATTATGACAGACAGAAGGAAGTAAAACAACATCTCTCAAGTGCTGAAAGAAAAGAGCTCCCAACCCCAAATCCTATATCCAGCAAAAATATTACTCAGGAATGAAGGGGAAATTGAGATAGCATTAGATAAAGACAAACTGGAAGGATATGTTGCCAAAAGAACTACCCTGAAAGATTGGCTCAAGGGAGTTCTCTAAACCAAAAGGAATAATAATAGAAGAAAAACTATTTTGGCATTTCAGAAAGAATAATAAGGTAAATATAAGGGTAATTTCAAAACATTTTCCTTCTCCTATTAAGTTTTCTAAATTATGTTTGATGGTTGAAGCAAAAGTTATAATAATGTCTGGATGGCACTGAATGATTGCAGATGAAATACTTAAGACAATGAGAATGTATATGGGACTGGGATGTAAAGGGAGGTAGGTTTCCTAACTTCATACTATTTGGTGAAGTCACACTAGTAGACTGTTTTTATGGTGCTGGGATTTGTTTTAATCAGGTGTGGCAAGACACACAGACATAAAAATGACTCTCATGAAGGCAAAAGTTTTATAGATCCCTAGAAACAGGAGGCATGACACATCACAGGGAGGCCATACAGGGAAACACCAGTGTTGGCCAGGAGGCAGAGGGAGCAAGGGGGAAAATGTGGACAAGAGACTCCTGTTTTTTTCTGTGGGAAATGCAAGGCAAGACAGGGTAAACTGGGTTAGGGTTAGCTAGTTTGAATAATTTCAGTGGGCTCTAGGGTATAGGGTCCTGATTTGTCTGGTACCTGGTCCTAAAGTGATTATGGCAGATGATAGTTAGTCCAGATGTAAGTACTAGATAAAGGCAATCACTGGAAATTTGAGTTCCAGGTCGGTTAGTTTGTATATGAAAAGTGCATTCACAAGCCAGTCATTTTCTATTTCTAGAAATTCATTAGCCTTAAGAGGAGCAGTCCATTCAGGAATAAGATGCCAACGTATTAAATAACAAAAATTAGAAAATTTGGTGTGTGTGTGTGCATTCATGTCTGTATGTGTGTAAAATACATTATATATGTTATATATTAAATATACCATGTGTATTAGTTTTTTTTTCACACTGCTGATAAAGACATACCCAAAACTGGGAACAAAAAGAGGTTTGATTGGACTTACACAGTTCCACATGGCTGAGGTGGCCTCAGAATCATGGTGGGAGGTGGAAGGCACTTCTTACACAGCGGCAGCAAGAGAAAAATGAGGAAGAAGCAAAAGCAGAAACCCTGATAAGCCCATCAGATCTGATAAGACTTGTTCACTATCCTGAGAATAGCATAGGAAAGACCAGCCCCCATGATTCAATTACCTTGCCCAGGTCCCTCCCACAACACATGGGAATTCTGGGAGATATAATTCAAGTTGAGATTTGAGTGGGGACACAGCCAAACCATATCACCATGCTATGTGTATATATAATGTAATAATTAGAGAAACAACTAGAAAAAGTTATACAGAAGGATGCACCCCAAAATAATTTAATAAATAACAATGAAATTCATAAATATTTTTAAATAACAGGAAGACAAGGAAATTAAAACAAGAAAACAAAAAAAAAATGGACAAAATACAAAATGACTTCAAGGGGGAGTCGCTGACTTGAACTAGAGTTCATTCCCACTCCCACAGAAAAACAGCCTATAAGGCAGCTGTTCTCAAAGTGTGGAATGTCAGCATCCCCTGGGAACTTGATAGAAATGCAGAATCCCAGGCCCCATCCCAAACCTACTGAATCAGAAGCTCCAGGGACAGGGCTTGCTAATCCTTGTTTGAGCAAGTCTTCCATGGGATTCTAAAGCACACTAAAATGGGCTTTAGAATAAAATGACTCCCCCTTCAGCATCATAAGGAACTTAGAAGCTATTATTTTCATTCTTACAATAGAAAAACTAAGTGAACTGAAAATCAATTATTTTTCTTGTACTCATGAGAGGATTGATGTGACAGGGAAAACTGCCACCCTGAAATCTGGAGAAACAAGCAAACTTGAGGGAGAACCATAGCTAAAATCTGCTCAATAGAAAATGAGCCCCCTCAGAAGCACAGATACTCTACTTAGTAGAAAAAGACTTTTAAGTCAACTGTCTTAAATATACTAGAAAAACTAAAGAAAACCATCAACAAATGAACTAAATAAATCCAGAAGAACCATATATAACAAAATACAAATCAGTAAAGAAAAGAGATTGACATTATAAAAAGGAGCCAAACAGAATTCTGGAGCTGAAAAATACAATAACTGATGTGAAAAATACACTAGCATGTTTCAGTAGCATATCTGAGCAGGCAGAAGAATGAACCAGGAAATCTGAAGATAGATCAATTTAAATTACCCAGTCTGAGAAGTAGAAAGGAAAGAAAAAAAGAAGAAAAATAAGAAGACCTAAGAAACCTGTAGGATACCATCAAGCATTTTCATATACTTATAATGAAAATCCCAGGAGAGGAGAGAAAGTAGCAGAGAATAAATAATGGCTGAAAACTTCCCAAATTTGATAAAAGACATAAAACCACACATTTGAGAATCTCAGCAAATTCCAGAAGGATAAATGGGAAGAGAATCACACAGAGACACTAATCAAATTGTTGAAAGACAAAGACAAAGATAATTATCCAAAATGCATAACAAAACAACTCATGACATACAAGATAGCATTGACACAGCAGATTTTTCATCAAAAATCATGAAGTCCAGAAGAGAGTGGGCTAACATTTTTAAAGTGCCAATAGAAAAAATTTTGTCAACTGAGAATTCTGTATCTGTCAAAACTTTCAAAAATGAAAGAGAGCTGAGTGCAGTGGCATGTGCCTGTAGTCCCAGCTATTCAAGAGACTGAGAAAGGAGGATCACTTGAAACCAGGAGTTTCAGGCTGTATGGTGCTGTGATCATGCCTGTGAATAGCCATTGCACTCTAGCCTGTGCAATACAGCAAGATCCCATTTCTTTAAAAAAAAAAAAGAAAGAAAGAAAGGAGGAATGAAGTCATTCCTAATAAACAAAAGATAAGGAAATTTATTATTAGTAGACCTTTCCTACAAAAAGTGCAGAAAGAAATCCTTGAGTCAGAAATGAAAGAGGCTGGGCAAGGTGGCTCATGCCTGTAATCCCAGCACTTTGGGAGGCCAAAGAAGGCCAATCACCTGAGATCAGGAGTTCAAGACCAGCCTGGCCAACATGGTGAAACCCCATCTCTACTAAAAACACAAAAATTAGCTGGTCATGGTGGTGCACACCTGTAATCCCAGACACTTGGGAGGCTGAGGCAGGAGAACCACTTGAACCCAGGAGACAGAGGTTGCAGTGAGCTGAGATCCTGCCACTGCACTCCAGCATGGGTGACAGAGCAAGACTTCATCTCAAAAAAAAAAAAAAGAAAGAAAGAAAAAGAAAAAAAATGAAATGAAAAAAGAGTGAATTCCTTATCCAGTCTCAGGTACTTCTTACTGGCAGTGTGAACATAGAATAATACACATAGTTTTCAAACTTCAGTGTGCTTTAGAATCCCATGGAAGACTTGCTCAAACAAGGATTAGTGAGCCCTGTCCCTGGAGCTTCTGATTCAGTAGGTTTGGGGTGGGGCCTGGGATTCTGCATTTCCATCAAGTTCCCAGGGGATGCTGACATTCCACACTTTGAGAACAGTTGCTTTATAGGATGCTTTTCTGAGGGAGTGGGAATGAACTCTAGTTCAAGTCAGCGACTCCCCCTTGAATTCCTCTACTAGTGCCTGTGTAATGGTAATCATCCTAGATTACATCCTAGGATGGAATCAGCATAGTACATTCAACTAGATGTAAACTGGCAAAAACAACCATACTTCAACTCATGATTGGCCACCACGTAGCTTGTATTTTCTCTTCTCAAACATTATTGATAATTGATGGTTAAATAATGACTTGGTAATACTCCTTAAATATACATGGGAGTGGAGCAATCTTTGTTTTTCCACCACAAAAAATCCTCTTCTGCTTTTGAAGTTCTTGCAGCTCTGCCCTTCTCCCAGTCTCATTACTGAATTGCCCCTAAATTACAAGCATGCAGTGGGTATTTGGAACAAGGGGAGGCATTTCTGCTTTTCCATTGTTCCTTTCTTATGGGGATATGTTGCTTCTCTTCCTCCCTGCTGGTGTTGAGGCCTTACAAACATCTCAGCAAGGGCCACTGTCTTACTTTTGTAATAATTTATTTCAGTCAAATCTGCAAAAGTCTTTTCTGGTCTCTACACTTTTGTTAACTCTGACACTCACTGTGACACCTCACCACCCACTCTTAGTTTTTCTCTATTTTCTGAGAAATAGATAACAAATATCAAAAGAT